GATCCCTCCTGATAACACGCCCTAAGTAAGGGGACAAAATCTCATCATCTTGGCTCCCAAGCACACTCTGGCTGCACTTGGTCCCCAATAGATTTGACAGATTAGTCTATTCTTTATTATTATTATTTTATTGTTTTGTGTGTGTGTGCTGTCAAATCGGATCTGACTGGTACAGAAGGAGATTGTCCCTCCTTCTCTAGAAGAGCATCTGGTGGATTTGAACCACTTACCTCTGGGATTGCAGTGCAGCTTCTTGCCACTAGGCCACCAGAGCTCCCTTAGATTAGTCTGTTATTTTGGGCTGTCCATGGTATAGTCAGAAGCCTTAACCAAGGCCACCATCTGACAACATTCATTTGAAGGCGGTGGGTAGTGGGGAATGTAGAATGAGGAAAGTCCAATAAAGACTTGCTCTCAGAGCTAGATTTGCCGCATGCGTTCACTAGACGGTTTCACTGTCACCACTCCATTGTGTGTTGTACGTTAGGGGCTTATGTGTTACTGTGATGCCAGAGCTGTGCGATTGGTATTTTAAATACCAGCTGGGTCACCCATGGTGAACAGGTTCCACAGAACAATTATTCTTTTTTTTTTTTAGAACAATTATTCTTGAGAGATGGAATTACAGATCATATTTTAGACTGTTCATGTTTTATAGATCTCCTGCAGTGAGCCTGGATCACATATATAACCATATGTGTGTGTATAGATATGTTCTTATATACGAGAGCCTCCCAACTCACAACAACTGCGTGCTCTAACTCAGGTGATGTATGACGAGTTGTACAGTGTTTCCTGCAGGAGCCTGTCTGTAAATACTCACTATTCCACTCTTTACTTTGTTGGACTTGCGTGGGGGAGGTGAGAGAGGAGGAAAGGTAGAGAGGTGTGCGTGAAGGCAAGAGAACCTGCACTGTGGAAGCGGGAGCTGCCCCTTCTCCACCTGCCCCACCATCATTGACCAGGAGAGTTGATGCTATTTTTTTCTCCATCCAGAGCTTACTCATTTCAAGGATCCCCATGGAAATCCTCAAGCAACACAACTTATTCATGATGTGAGGACTTGTTGCAGAAGATCAAGGAATGCAGCCTTCAGTATGGATTACATCTCAATGTCAAGAAAACAAAGGTTCTTTCCACTGGACTGACAGGCAACATCATGATGGATGGAGAAGAGATTCAAACTGTCAACAACTTCATCTTACTTGAATCCATAATTAACACCCTTGGTACCAGCAGTCAAGAAATAAGGAGAAGTGTTGCACTGGGAAAGTCTGCTGTTAGGAATTTCTCCAAATTTTTGAGGAGTAATGATGTCAGTTTGAGGACTAAGGTGTGTCTGATTCAGGCCGTGGTCTTTCTGAGGACTTGCTATCCATCTGAGAGCTGGACAATGAATAAGGATGGCAGGAGAAGAATTGATATCTTTAAGTTCTGGAGTATTCAGAATTCAGTACTGGAGAAGAGCCCTGGGATTGCCAAAAGAACAAACAAGTATGTCTTGGAGAGAGTACAGCTGGAATGCTCTTTGGAAGCAAGAATGATGAGGTTTCGCCTCGCATACTTTGGACATGCTGCTAGGAAGGGCTATTCTCTGGAGAGGGATATGATGGTTGGAAGGGTGGAGAAGAGGAAGACCCTTGACCAGGTGGATTGACATGGTGACTGCAACAACAGTTTCTTGTGTGTCAGGAAGTGTGAAGACGGCACAGGATAGAGCATGGTTCAGATCTTCTGTTCACAGGGTCACTATGAGTCATACTTGACAGCACTTAACAACAACAACATGGAAATCTTTGTGTCCTGCATAGCTCTAATTTGGAAGGGGGCCCCTGTGAGGCCCACCAAGGAGGGGCAGCCATAACATTAAAGGAGGCAGTGTGGTATAGTGGTTAACCATAAGATTCTGGAATAAAGTGGGTCAAAGTCTCACTCTGCCTCTTATTATTGTGTGATGCTGGGTTACCTGCTGCATTCCGCTTCCTCCTCGGTGAAATGGGATTTTAGAGTCTGTTGTTGTTGTTGTGGGATATAAGGAATGAATTAATTTGTAGGCATAATGTTCTTAGAAAGGGGCTTAGGTTACAGAAAGAACTTGAAACTGGCATGTGTTGGTTAAGGTTCCAGTATTGTGTGCCTCGATCAGGGCTGAACCCATCACTTGCCTCACTACATCTTCCTCATCCCAGCACCCAGGAAATACTTGATGAAATAGCTGCTGCTTTTGGCTACTGTATCTTTGATCATCCATTAATCATGCAGCCCACACCATTAACTTAGTGAGGATTTTGTTCTTTCTGGGGCTGCTACTATGTTTTGTTATTAATGGACATAGTTTTACAGCCCTGTTTTACCTGCCTTGCATTGTTCTCTCAGATTAAAATAATAATACCTTCAGTTAATAATACCTTGCACTTACAGAGTTGCTTTCATCCCAACAGCTCAAAGCCCTCTGCAAACATGACCTCATTCTCTTGTCCTGGGAGGGGGACCTCCCTACCTTTCACAGCCCCACAAGGGGAAACCCTGCCCAGCCAGGCGTCACCAATCAGATTCTCAGTTCACGTATTGATTGAGTGCTTCCACTCCCAGTGACCACAAATCACAGGTGGCACTATGCTGCTTTTCCCTCTCATCCCCTGAGTGATATTTTTATGCCCAAAGAAAATAGCAGGCAAATCCATCCCCCCCCCACACACACACACACACACACGCCCTGGGGCTGGGTGGGCACATCTCTATGCCTCTCTCTCAGGTGCTTTCACCTGTGTCCTAGTACTAATAGACCTTGGGGATGGGCTGCCTTGACATCTGGGAAATAGATTTGGCAATTTAGGCATTTCCAGGATCCTTGCCTCCCTAATTAAGACCTACAGCCTCTTAAGGGCTTGAGGGACATTGGCTGAAGCCCCAAAAGTCTCAGCCCAGGGTACATCCTACGACTCAAGGGCCTGGCATGCCTACCACCTGTTTGGACTTGTGAGCACTGGAGTCCCACACTAACACTTCCTTGTTCTGGGCCTGCAGTGGCCCCAGCTCCCGGGCTGCTCACTTTTGTTTTCACCCAGCAATTACTGGAAGGGAAGGGCCAGGCCACAGGGACACTTGCTTCTCCAGCCATACTCTGGGATTCACGCAAGAACCACAATGACAAGTGTCATTACAGACACAGAGACTGTGATTCCCCAGAGGATTTCAAGATGAGGAGAGCTAACTCCTTTTCTCTCAAACAAATAAACAAACAAAAAGACTATAACTAATTGTGAGACCACTCAGTAGAATCCCAGAGGCTGTTTTCTGTCAGGACATAAACACTGGGTGTAATCTTTGTCCTTTTGTGTACTATGTTTTGTTTTGATTTAATATGGTAACGTTTTCTTAGCTGGAGATTTAAGGTTCACTTTAATCAGTCACTGTAGAGTTGATTTTGGCTGGTGGTGACCTCATGGTGTGTCATAGCTCTGGGAGGTTTTCAATGGCTGGTTGTTAGGCTGTACATCATTATAACTTTCTTCAGAGGAGCTGCTGAGTGGAGTTGAACCTCCAACCTTCTGGTTAGCCGCCTTTGCATCACTCAGGTTTACCATATCCACTTTGGGCAAAGTCAACATGGAATTTTTACTTCTCATTATTCTCCTTCCCTCCTGCGTGCTGTTACAGTAGTTCAGACCGAAGACTTACTCAATTTTTCCTGAAACAGAAAGTATTCAACAGTGAGTCCCTGGCAGTGAGTTTACCTTCCTAAACTCTTCTGCCCCTTCTTCAGTCTGTTTGAACAACTGGTGTTTTCCCCACCCCCACAGTTCTCAAAGGCGAATCCTGAAATGCAAATCCTAATCTAAAGACGGAAGTTCAGAGGATATAAACAAACTTCCTGTTTTAAATGGCTACTGGGTAGAAGCACTCATTCTTTTTCTAAAGGATGGCAAAGCTTCAGCTAATCAACCTGAGGGGGAAAAAAATCTCGATTTGAGAGATTGGTCACTGAGAAAGTCTCACTTTTCCTCCTTGTAATTTTATTTGTAACATTAGTTTTCATCTTTAGAGAGCAACTTTCTGATCCGAAAACACAGGAAAAGACAGTTTGACTCTTCGGGTGGGTGGGTGCGGAAAGGGAGTTTCTGAAGTGTGGGCTTATGTTTTATTTCTCGATCTGGGTACTGGTTACAGGCGAGTATTCACTTTGTGAATTGTGAGAACCTTATCTGTGACAACGTGCACTTTCCTGTATTTAGTTGCTTTTCAATATGAGGTGAAAGAAAAAGTAGGGCTGCTTGAAAGTTTGTTGTTGTTGTTTTAATTAAATACGTTTAAGACTGGCGCAGCTGCAAAGGCTTTGTCTGTTTTCTATTTTGATCACTTTGTTTCTCGAGATGACCACATCTTTCAGAGGAAATGAGTCAAAGCCACTCTGTCTTGCTTTTCCAGCTGAGCATGTTCAGTTTCAATGAAGTGATGAATGAACTTGGCCGCACCACCCCCAAGCCTACAACAGCAAACAGAAGGACCTCGGCCAATCAGCGGGCACTCAGGGTTTTCAAGTTGGGTTCAAACAGGACCGTGAGAGGCCAATCAGCGCGGGAGGCCCCGCCCCCAGCACCAGGCCTCAGCCAGTCACCAGCCCGCAAAAGCCAAAACACGGCAGCCGGCCAATGGCGGGCAGCCGCACGGCGCGGCCCTCCTCCAATGGGCTCGGCTCAAGGAAAAGAGAAACAGAGCCGGCCCGGCAGGCCGCAGGATTCGAATTGGAGGTGCCCCCTCCACGGGGAGGGGGCGGAGCCAGGCGGCGCGCCGGCCAATCGGCGGCGGCGGCTCGCGGCCCCCGAACGTTGGGGCCGCCTGGCCCCGCCCCGCGCTGTTGTTTGTGGTGTCGGCGGGGGAGGCGGCGGAACCACAACATTCGCCGGGCGGCTCGGCGGGGCGGCGGGCGGCGAGGGCCAGCGCAGGGCGGCCGCGAGCCCCGATCGGCGCCGGCAGAGCAGCGGCCTTCGCGTCTCGCCATGTCGGTGAACATGGAGGAGCTGCGGCACCAGGTCATGATCAACCAATTCGTGCTGGCCGCGGGCTGCGCGGCCGACCAGGCGAAGCAGCTGCTGCAGGCGGCCCACTGGCAGTTCGAGGTGCGTGCGGCCGGGCGGGGCG